GGTATAGAGGTGTTCAGTATAGCGTTCCACTTTACTTACGTACATGTATATCAGCACAACAATGTGAAATATCATGTGATGAGCATGTGTTACGCATATAAAAATGGCAACCTTAACCTGCAGAGATCCCACCCATGGTTTTGGTAGTTTTTTTTATGGTTTAGGGTTCACGTCTGGGTTCACAAAATGTAATTTTCACTATTACATGTGTAATAGTAATTTTCATTATTACATGTGCTTATATATTGTTTGAAGTATACACACACACACAAAGACGATGGTGTAACTTAGGAACCTTTCCATATGCTTTTAGTGTGCCTTTCCAAAGTGCGTTTTGTGTCCGTTATGTACAGTACATGAGTCTATTTAGGCCTATTTTCTTAACTGTAGGTTGACAAAAAACGGACTGGAAAAAATGCATGGAAAGCACAGGCAGTTTTACAACTCACTGTTGGATTTTGACAGAATTAGAAAGAGAAAGGATCCTATACAGAGTAGGAAAAACTCATTGGCATTTTGGTTAACATGAATTGTCAGACTTATATCATGACAAAATCATCAACTCAAATTATACACGTTTGTGAAACCAGAACATGTGTTAAAATTTACAAATTCTGAGAAGTCTTTCTTCTTAAGTACGCACTTCCGAGAATCTTCCGAGCCGAACCCTTGCAAACAAAACTCACAGTTGGGAAAATCAATACAACTTTACAACTTAACATTTGACTGATAAGCCTTTCCCCGGGAAACCCGATTAACTGATAACAGGTTTCTGATAACTCCTTGTTGACACAAGAAAAACAACAAAGACCTTTGACATCTATGAAATTGTGTAAACAGACGTGTCACTGAGTTTCCGAAGGTGGTCACAGTTTCTCCGCAAAAAAAATTGACTGGTGCCAGTTCTTTTTTTCTTCTTTTTCAGAATAACTGTTGTACAACACTGAAAATTAAAAACAACTAAAACATGCTTTCTGAAAGGCAGTCCTTTTTTTTGTGTAAAAATCACAAATATATTTTTTTCTTCAGAATTACACTAATGATGGCTTGGTTGTAATATTTCAACTTAACAGATTCTCTGTAAACACAGAAATTGGAGAATTACAGGAATTGAATGATTTTCATGACACTGTACACTGTCTGTACACTGTACATGTATATGTTTGCAAAATTGTGAATAATTTTAGTGACTAGGGCAAAATACAGTACGTTTGGATGTGCAAAAAATAAAAATTACACGAACAGTGTATATGTGTGATAGAAAAAGTGCTTATTTCCAACAACTAAAAGATGGTGTTTGTTTACTATATCGTACGAAAATACTTCTTGACACTGGTTAACCATTACTTTATGCGGACCCTTCCAACAGAACCATGCAAAAGAATGAAAAAAAAAAGATTTCACACATTTTTGTTTTCCCAGTTGCGGCAAATCGGAATGTGCCATATGACATGATGAAATTCTATTTGCAATTTGTGGTTTTCGATGCACTCACATGTACTGTGCTTATGACTGAATCATCCGTGGAAAATTACACGTTGCACACCATCACTGCTAAAATACAGGATAAATCTTCTCAAGCATGACTACCTGACCTGAACTTGAAGCAAGAACCACACGCCATGACTCACGTCTCTCACGCAGCGACCAGAAATTCTTTCATTTCACACAAAAAACTGATCATATAAGATGGATTTTTAATTTTTTTCTTCAAAATGTGGTTTGCAATAACAGATTACACAACCCTGTCAAGTGATATCAAACCCAGGAAGTAAACTATTAATAGGCGACATAAAATATCACTCAACTATGCCGGGCATCAGTCCAAGAGACACATTACATCAACCACTTTGACATGTTTGTCTATCATACATGTAGCGGACTAAGGGAACCTTTACAAAAATCCTTGCCCCAATTTTTGTAGATTGGTCTAAGCCTGTCCATTGGGTTAAGCACTGTATGGATTGGCCAAACAATAACCAGAACTCTCAATAGCCAAGTGACAATACCAAGCTGGAACCCCTAGTTGGCCAGTCCCTTTGTTGCCCATGAATAGCGCAATACAAAGACTTGTATCCCTGGCCAAAGAGAGTTGTTCCACGCTACACCCTAAATCGATCATACCAAGAGAAAGGCTTTTTTTACTTTCCAAACACCAGTGGTTCTGGCTCTTTGAAAAGGAAAAGAAGGGGGGTAGCTTTTGATACAGACAAGTTGTTGAACTGCCAAAGGAAAGCTTAGGGACCGAGGATTAGCTTTTTCATAAACACAGACTAAGAATGCCTGAAAGGGATGTTTTAATTAGCATTTGAAATGATGTCTACATCATTATATCATCCTTTCAATGTTGAGTAAGTGTGTAGTTATTACTTTAAAGCCCAAAAGATAATCACTGAATGGTTGGATAGGAGAGATGCTTCAGGAACCCCAACATGCATGTTTAGGGACTGCCTGTTCAAATGATTATGAACACAGTTATTTTTTTTTTGTCATAATTTTACAGAAAAAAAATATAAAGTGAATTGGACATTGATTTTCACATGAAAAGGTATGAGTAGAAAACCATGTAAAATGGTTTACAATTTGCATGCATCCATTTTCATTAAAACTAAATCCATAATTTCAACATCCTACATGACATGCATGCGGACATAAAAATACACGCTTAAGTTACGGTAGCACAATCCAAAACAGCGCCTGCTTGTTACAAATTATGCCAAATTTATGACCCCTCAAGTTTTCTTTTTATAATTAACACTTCTCACTGTATTTCATATTACATTTGAATATATATTCATTTATATGGAAATGAGTTACACTAAAATGACAGGCTATTAAAACTTAATCTGTCTATAATTGCCTGTAGCTACTGCAGTATAATGTGTATTTTTCTACATGTTCATTTTTATAGTGCAGTTTTTATTCCCATGGACATTACAGCACAGTACGTGTTCAGCCATGCATGCGCAGTAATTCTATATTACCTAGGATTAATTTTGTTTTAATTTCAAATTGAACGCATATGAGTAACGTCTCGGGTTTCTTGCGTGGGCTGTGTTTGAACGATACTCCGCAAAAACATGTGAAGACTTGCTGGACTTATTGCAACAGAAAAAAAACCCCACAATTTGCAACACGCATAATTTATCACCTCTAACTAAGATTATTTCACAAAATTCAATTAATGTTGGAAAACGTGAGAACAGTCCTCGGAAGAAAAAAAAAATAACATGACAGCGTTTCCAAGTTAATTAAATGGAAAAGTTCAGGCTGTAATTAAATATAGCGTGCGGGATGTGTGTCACTGCAATGTAGCGTGTGCGAGCGTGCCCTTTTCATTACTGTCACAGCATTTACTGGACGGCAAGGGAGGGTCATTTACAATACGCACCGTTTCCCCGAAACGTTTCTGAACGTAAACAAATTTCAACCACTGATGGACGACCCTGCTTTCTTCCCAACCATTAATCAAAAATGACCAAAAAAAACCCAAGCAAACTTGTAATCAACTGATTCTCTGGACAATTTGATCAATGACAACTGTATGCATCTTTGATACTTTAGAACATTTTTACACAGGGTTATCGTCTTGTCATTTTCTCCTACTATGAAAGGTAAAACATTCTGGGAATTCACTTTTTGAAAACCGCACATTTTGCTTCATGAATGGAGGCTAATTTGACGCACATAGTGATCAATCATTGGCTTCCATGTAAGCCCTTGTTTGGCCCGTTTCTAGTAGAATACTCCCCCATGCAAATTACTCATCACCTCCTGAGGTCGAACGTACATGACACGCAACATGGCCATTGATACAACAAGCAAGCTGAAGCTACATGTAACTAACTTCTTCTTTTTTTCCCCAACGAAGAAATCTTGTACAGGATGTCCAAAAATAATTCTCTCTAACTTTACGTAGACCGGGCATGAGTATGTCTCATGATAATGCTGATTTGCTACCAATCCCCTTGGTAACTGACATTTCTCAATCACTATAGTCCTGAAGTCAAGGTTCTTGCAAATGCTACATTCATGTACAATGATACTTTTTTTACATTTACACAAGTGAAGGAAACATAACCTTACACAAAAGTAAGGAATCACATATTTTTAAAGACTAACAATTTCAGGAAAAGTAGACGGATCCGCAGTTATCATCAATAACTTTTCATCCATGGATCCAGTCAAAACGATAATTTCATTTTTTGTTTGAAATGACAAATTATTTTCAGATATTAAGTTTTCCTGAATCAGTTTTCCCTACATTCTTTACATTGTATTACTATAAGTCCATGTATTAACATACAGATCTATTGTTTCTACATTTGAACTTCACGAATGAAACATGCAAGATGATATAATGATGTATACGAGAGTTGAACGAATTGTGTGCCACTGAAAATGAAACAGAATATACGTCGAGGCAAGTTCATGTGCAGGTAACTCCAACGAAAATTTACCCTGGTCTTATTTCAAAATATTACAACACTCTACTTATTGCAACAACCATTTACCATAAATGTTACAACACTCTGCTGATTGCAACACTCATTTACCATAAATGTACTATGATTAAAAGAAACTGAAATGTACGAGAGTGAAATGAAAGATTATTCAGTATCAAAACTGAACGGCCATTTCAAAAAACAGATTTCTTGATTTTGAAACAAAACGAAATGTGGAAAACAGGTCACTGAAAAATGGAACTCAAATATTCTATGACAGCTTTTACTTTATTTTTATATGTAACATTGTGAAGACAACCTGAACGTTTATTGAAAATGATATTCCCGACATTCAGTACAAAATTTAAACAAATTAAACATGACAATTTGGAAGTCAATCTATATTTCAGTTCCATCTCTGAATAAATCTTTCAATCACCTTACATTTCCCGGGGGAAAAAACAACAACAAATGTGCAACACTTTTAAATCTAATTCTAAAAAAACACAACAAAATATATCAATTTCAGAAAGTTTCAACAAATATTTCACTTACCAAGTCATTTTCAATTCCACCTGGGCAAGACGTAACTGTAAGTAACTCTGAAAAAAGCGGAGAAATAAAAAGGCGAAAATATATTGTCAGGCCGTGACAGCGCTTTGATACGAAGATGTTTTCTTGAAGCAAATCTTGGTAGTCTATCCTTTCGCTTTCACAGATGTATCACAGTAATTCAGCACACAGGAATAAGAATTCAAAACCAGTATAATTTTTTTAGCATTGCAAGAATACTCCGGCTATGCTATAAACCCACAGCCTTTCCAATTTCTATTAAAACACATGTACTGAACGGACCGCAGGTGTACCAATGTGCATTGCTGGATATTTCTGGACCGTTCCATTTTTCTCCCCTGTGAGGGTCACGCTGATAAACAAATGTCATATCTCTAGACTCACCGGCTTTGTTACAGCAGATAGTTTTGATAAAATTCCTGTTTCGCTATCATGGGACAAAAACGGGCACGTTTCCAAATCTGCCAAAAACTTGCAACTGAAATCATAATTTGTGCAATCTGATGAAAATCCCGACCCCTCCGGTGCCCCCGAAATAGACCCGTCTCTTGTGTGGCAACACAGGAATGAGAGAGTCCACTGGTGTGCAGGGGGTGTTTACTTTCTAATCCGTTTCTTTCACACAAGCTGTGTGTGTATGTTTGTGTAGTGATGGCGAGGTCATGTAGACTGTTGCATTGCAAACAGGTTGTGCATAATTTCGGCTGGTGTTGTGGTTAGGAAGACACACAATGCCAGTAATGCATGCATGAATGGTGTCTAATGACTCCACATGGACACAGAAACCAAACACAAACAAGGGGGAAAATAAACCACCACACTACTAGTACTACTAATCAATAGCTTTCACTTTTTTTCAGAGGAATTTGACTGCTTCCTTTTTGAAGGGAAAACCCCAAGCTGGAACAGTTTTTTCAACAGCAAAAGCAAAGCCCATCCGGGGATTTGCTTGTTTTAAATCAATTATCAGAAGGAAAAGAGAAGCATTCAGATTTTTTTTTTTTGTAACAGTACATCATCATAAATCATTTCAAAATATATGTATTACAATTTTGCACTTGATCAGCGTGCATTCAAATTGCAAGAAGCTGAAAACAGACATACAATTCTTCTACAATTCTAAAACACTACGTTATCAAGATTATTATTCTCACACTGTTATCAGTAGAAATATGCCACTTAAAAAAGTCCAGGAGTTTTAATTCAAATAAGACGAATCAAACATATTCTCAGACTGTTATCAGTAGAAATATGCCAGTTAAAAAAGTGGAGGAGTTTTGATTCAAATAACATGAATCAAACATATTCTTTAAAATGTTGTTCTCGCATGTATCTTATTTTTTTAATTCGTAATCTCATGGTTAAAAATGCTACGTTGTGAGTCATGTAAATTCTAGTTCACCGTAGGCCTACCGTACATCCATACGTATTTTAAAATCCATAAAATTATGATGCAATTAATGTTGAGGATTTTTCAGCATACGCTTCTGAATATCAGCGTGCAATTACATGCCTGCTTTATCATGATGTACACACAACACAGTCTACTATGCATGTACTTGAATAATGAGTACAAAGAGATACTCAATCAATTTCCAACAATGAACAGTATTTCATCAAATTCCATCTAATAAAAAAATACAGATTTGATTGATGAGAAAAAAAATACAGAACCCGAAGCACATGAGAGTTAAATTGAAGCAGCACCAAACAATAAATGACCCTGTCCCGAATCCTCCCAAATCCCGCGTCTAATTTCTCCCAAATTCACTTCTTCCTTTCCTTGTCTCCCCTCTGTCGCTGTTCCCACCTCTCTCAACAGATGGCCGGGCCTGGACTGGCCAGCGAGCAAGCCAGAAAAAAAAAAGGCGAGAAAGATCCTCACACACCACGCCCGGCAACAAAAGCCACTCAGGACCTTACCGCGTGACCCAGAGACAACACAACAAGCTCCAAGAGAGAGGAAATTGACTAGATTGCCAAGCTTCGGTCTCTGATCTTTTTTTTTTGTGGGCAGCTTTTTTTTCGGGGTGTCTCAAGCTCAGCAGATTTTTTTTCTGAGAAAAACAGGAAATCTTGGCAATCGATGACTGGGCATGGCCGGGAACCCCATGATCAGCCGAAGTGACAGTCTTGCCCGGTCATGCATCTGCTACTCAGAGTCCGTAACCAACAGCGGTAACTCCGGCCTTTAAAAAACAAAACAAATTCCACTGACGGTCCTAAAACTATGATTTCTCTGAATCCAAATACCGGTCGCCTTAGGGCATTCATTAGAAATGTTCCCAATCAAAATGTTTTCTGTAAAAAATACAAAAAAGGAAATCCAAACACCGGTCGCCTTAGGGCATTCATTAGAAAAGTTCCCAATCAAAATGTTTTCTGTAAAAAATACAAAAAAAAGGAAAGGCAGAAATTGTAATCAAGATTTCATTATCTTGTTTATGTTCAACTCAGTGTATTCAATAACACATGTCGACACTATTATTAGCAGTATGAATCATATCCCGTTAACTACATGTACATGTATGTACCAAAAGATTATTAATAAGTCAGCCATTATTTTTAAAGCTAACACTTCAATATGAACCTCCGGATCCGATTTTGTCATTCAACTGGATTCTACATACATTTTACATAATTATACTCGGTTTTACTGCATACCAAAACATAATAAGTCAGCCATTATTTCCAAGCTAACACTTCAGTATGAGCCTCCGGATCTCATTTTGTCATTCAACTAGATACTACATGTATATTTATACATTTAGAAATATTTTGAAAGATATACATGTACAGTACATGTAATATCTGGGCCAAGTACAGGCTACACCTACATGTACATGTACAATTGTCATTTACATGTACCGATTGTAGTTGTTTCCTTGTACTGATGTTGGTGCTGAAAGATTTAAGCACATTTGATATAAAAAAGCAAGCTTTGGATTCTACTTGTTCTGATGATTGATGTGGTGTCCTTTCATCCCTAACCCAAAAGCGTTCATTTGAATGATGAAGAAGCTTACTGATTCAATTGGGCTTGGTTATGGCCATTAGGCTGAATGTGGTACATGTATCACCCTAACCCTCCTCAATCCTTCAAAATCCTCCTTGTGGGTTTTGGAGGATTTTGGAGGATTGAGGCTGAATGGTATTTTTTTCAGAAAAGGATTTTGGAGGATTGAGGCTGAATGGTATTTTGAGGCAGGACTTGTCTGACGATTTTGAAGGATTGAGGGGCTGGGTACCCTTCATTTGAACATAAACTTGTGTGTGTGTGTGCAACATTTTTGGATGAGGAGGATTTTGGAGGATTGAGGATGAACGCATTTTGAGGCAGGAATGTCTGAAAATTTTGAAGACTTTAGGCGCTGTTGTAAAATTTTGGAGGATTGAGGATGGTTCCTGGCAAAAAGGCCTAGGGGCTTAGGGTTAATATTACTATCAGGCTAAATATGGTACATGTACATGTGGTACTGTGTATAATGTACATGTACTATACCGGACTTTTTTTTAATTTGTAAGTGAAGTCATTCCCATAAAAAAATCCAACCACTGATCAAAACCATAATCATATTCATCATTGAAAATTGTCATCAATCAATCATAATAATCAGAGAAAGTAACGACATGGCTCCCAACAGATGTGCTTGTTCAAAAAGGATACCAACCAGCAGTAACGAAAATTAAATTAAAATTCCATACGCAAATACATAAGGGTCAGCATCTATGATTGTACACGTATGTGTCCACAGCCTCCCTATTCAAACACAAAGCACAATGAACACGTTGGAAATTTGAGTCATCAAAAAAAAAAAAAAAAAAAAAAAAAAAAAAAAAACGACAGGATATTATAATTGTGAGCCCTGGGTCCTGAATTGAAAGGGCCACAATATTTGCACAATATACATTCATTGTCATCTGGATAATAACATACATTGTATTCATTTTTTTGAAATGTCTGGGTGAGCAGAATATTAATAGAAGGGCAATTATATGAAGATTATATTGCTGCCATCATGTATACACAAATATGTATGTGGATGAATAATCATGGGCCACAAGTAATGGAATGCAATTTAGAAAGAAGAATCACATGTACGTCACGGTGTATGAATCCATGAGACAGCGCATGAAGTAGAAATGAGATTGTCAATATAAAAGTTAAAACAGTCTGAAAATTGAATGAAAAGTCTGAAAGATGCATTTCTTTTCACGCTGATAATGTCTTTCTCTGGGATAAAAAGGCGGATTTCAGACAAAACGTCTGAAACTCTCATGCCTGATATTTAATTAAAAACACGCATCAGTCTAGCTGTCAAAGAGAATGAACCACACACTTTCACAGCTTGGATTAAAGAAAAGAAATAAATGAGCCCGTCCCTGAAGCTCCTACAGAGAGTGCCCTTTGGAATAACAAAAGCCAGTTTGTTTACTCAGAATGTGTGCAGAATGCATGCAGCTCAGGGAGGTCAGAGGGCATAATTGGCAGGATGATCTCATGCAGATTGTAAAGGACCATGTGCCATGTACATGTACATGTATTTACATGTACATGTACATGTACGGTGTATAGAGCAATAGGAAAATCTGTTACGAGGTCAAATACGCTGTGTCTAATGACTCCTTTCCTTCCTGTATTTGTTGAAAGCAAAGCAAAGTGCCAAAGGAGAGTCCTTGGACAATTGTACATGTACATCTACAGGTTATTACTTCATATCCAGTTATAACAATATTGCATGTTAATGTACTGGTACATGTACGTATTCACTACATGTACATGTACATAACCATTAAATAATATGCATTTATGTACAGATACAACATGTACATTTTCATAGATAACTTATTTTTAGTTTGAGACTCTGTGTAAAAAGTAATTAACATCTTGTTGGCAGAAGTTACGTGTGATTTACAAAACATACATGAAAACGTACTGTGAAGTTACATGTACATGTACTATGATGTAGGAAACATAGTATTAAAACTAGGCATGTGCATGTTGATGTACGTGTACACATGTGTATTA